CTTTCTGAGATCAAAGTCAAAATCCTGCCCTTTTCAGATTTTGGGACAAAAATCAGGATCATACATGTTTGTGCAGATATTTCAGTTAAATGAATTTAAGAGTTTTTATATTCACAATTCTGAGTGAAATTGGTTTGAATTTAAATTCTCTCTCTCTTTTTTTGAGCATTTTGACATTTTTTTGTCTTTTATGCAATCTGTTACCCACAACATTTTACAAAATCTAATTCTATCCTATTCTCTAAAAGTCTAATAGTAGATATAGTAGTAAAGTATTAGTAGAAATCCCATACTTCATCCTCTTTCTCACAGTTTTAAGGTAAATCAAAAGCATTTATAGATTGTATGACTATTTTATGGCTATTCCTACACAACTTAGCATTAACCAATCAGCTTACAAGAAAATAAAAAAACGTGTTTTGGTCATTGTAGTTTAGATATTTTTGTTCTCGTGGTGTTCCCTTTGACCACATTGGCCCTTTCACTCTGATGCTTCATGACTCGTCCACTGGACTCTGGTTTTCCCATAAAGGCCATTCCTGACCATTCCTGACCTCTTCCTTAAGTTCATATCAGATGATAACAAATGCAACAACAAACACTTGCATGTAAGAAAATTAAAATAAATAAATATGTAAAAAATCCCTAACATTCTTGAGCTCCATTTGCAGAGTCTGTGCCACAACCTTCAGCCATCAGTTTAAGTGGAATTTTGCCATGGAATTTTCTGCTCTCTTAAATTAAAGCCTTCACAGGGAGCAGCTGGTCCACGAACTGAAGAGACTGAAGGAGAGAGGGAAAAAAATGTTTCACTCATCACCCTCGCTTTAGGCCTGATCTGAAGACGAAGGATGGAGGGTGGAAGAGAGCAGGATGAAATATTGAGGAGATTGAGCTTTAAAAAGAGAGACGTTGGTGTTATTTTGATAAATGAGTTTTGTATTCCTCTGATCGTAGAACACGAGCTCACCTTGCGTAACCCTGACAGCGGGATAGAGCAAAATGTTTCATTGGTGAGATTAAAACCAGACTTTCTCAACACTCTGGCTCGTTTTGATGAAACAGGCGTGATTGACAGTTGGTGATCATCCAATAGGAACTTGACCATTTGGAAGAAGAAGAAGAACTGTTAGTAACTGGCCTCAGGCTGCAGCGACATCATTCATGCACCATTGTCACAACATCTTGAAACTGGGGCCTGTGCCTCGTCTTCAGACTCCTTATTGGACAGCTGTTAATGCATTCATTCAATGCACCTATTATTTACAATACAAAAACACCTGACTGTGTGCAAAAAACTGAAAAACTATATAAAAAAATAATGGATTTCAGCAAAGAAAAAATTCCAATATGGAATTTATTTCTATAAATCAATACATTTTTACAATTGTCTTAGAACTTTGTGACTTATAACTTTATATAACAGTGCCATTTAGCAGACACCAGTGCATTTTCCATATTCCATATATATATATTTTTTAAATATGTTCTACGGTCAAATCTAGTTTGACATTGATTGAAAACAAACAAACCTTAACTGCTTTTGTGCCACTTTCAGTTATTTGTTTAAAGAAGAAGAAGAAGAAGAAGAAGAGTGCCAGTGGGTCAAACTCTCCAATACTTTGTTACATTTCTGTAAAACAAGACTGGACCTTTGTTCTCACCGTTTAGCTTCTGTGAGGTCATTCATCGAGCAAACAGTCGCCTTCACTGTTGGGTTGGAACACAGACTTCATCAGGGCTTCTACTGGACTAAGCACTGCTGAATTTGTCTGCACAGCTGGTGAAGCCAGTGGTCTTTCTGAGAAGTAACTGGCCTATAAAACATGTTCCTGTCACTCCTGTTCTTAGAAAACTAAATGAAGGAAATTATGAAACATTGACTCCAGTCTTCTCTCCTGTAAAGTATACGGTTTCTGTCCCTTCCATTTTGTATCGACATGGTTGATTTTAAATTAAGTTTTTTTGTCTAAAGTCCAAAGGCAGTTGGTTTTTAGTCGTTGTTTTTGGCCTCAGTCGATGCCTCGAGCACAGAGACCGTGTCAGAAATCAACCAGGGAGTGGCACAGAGGTCAGGGGATTATTTGTTACCGGGGTCATGGAGCGTGGCTGTGTGTGTGGTTCAGGACAAAGGAAAAACCAAACAGATCTGTTTGCTTTAGCTTACCTGCTGCAGTGACGCTCGTCCAACAAAAGCACAAGACTGTTCCTTCCATCCACCAGAAAATTACTCGGTGAGCGAACAATCAAGCAGCGGAGGCTCAGGTTTGGTTACCTTGTCCTCTCACTTTGACCCCGAAAACCCAAATCCTCCAGTAGTTAGTCTGCTAATGTCAGAACATGTTTCTTTCCTGCTTGTTGAAAACGTATCCAAGGTCTGCAGTCAAGGTCACACACACACACACAAACTTTTCACTCTGATTCCCAGCGTCTGCGTCTCGTCTTCCGATTTCAAATCAAAAAGCTGAGCTCCACGTGGCAGGTGCCACGACCCTGAATATAATCGCCAGACCCCAGGTTAGGTCATGCACATGTGATCGCAGGTGGCCCGCATGATGCATGTCATTTCTCATTCTCATGTCTCATGTCCTGCCCACATTGACATTCATCAGTGTTCACCAATCCTGCTGCGCGGTCTGTCACCTGGGAGTAAATATCAGACAGAACCGTTTAAGAAGAACATTTCAAGACTGACTTAAAGGGTTTCAGTCAAACCAACTCTACAGACTCTTCTGTGACAGTTTCAGTCAGTGTAGTTGTCTCATACTCATACTGTCTCATACAGCTTATACAGCTCACTGAGAGACATCAGACAAATGATACGGATTCCTTGTGTCAGTGGAGGAGATATTGGAGATGAGAAAACTCTGAATCTTTTTGATTTGTACACAAAATGATTCCTGTTATTACTTCAAGGTGTGTCTGGAGATGGTTGAGCAATTGAGGAAAATCGAGTTGAAATTGTTGAAGGAGATGGATGTGCTCTAACGTCTGGGCTCCCACCACTCACGCCGTCTTTTTGCCAAGGCCTTTGGCAAAAGTCAGCGCCCACATTTGTCTTGACTACGTCATGAAACTCCACACATCCATCTTGTCCTGCGTCTGTCCACATTCCTGCACCTCATCAGTATCTTTACCTGTGCTGCAGATTGCTGGGATGAAGTGGTCCAGGTCTCTCCTTCTCCAGCATGTCCCTCTCTCT